GTTATATTTACTAACCAACAAAGGTAGTTGATGGTTCAGCAAGTAGAGATTTACGTATAACTATTAAAATTTATAGAAAAAAATGTGCAAGAACAGAAAAAAGAAAACTAAAGTTAAGATAAATGATTTCTGACCTTCTTTTCAACAGATAATTACAATCTTATTGTCCCTTCTCCCTCTTAAATATTTTGCAAATTTGCTCACCCCCTCATTTTACCTCATGACTCTGAATCTTCAAGTCCATTAATCATCCTTTTTTTTTTGTCTTTCAGCAAAAAGTCCCCACAAGGTTTCCAGTCTTTCAAAAAGAAAATTATTTTTGGTCTCTGACCAGAGAACTGTTTCATTCCTATACTCTGCTAACACACAACTCATATACACACATATATACAGGCAGTCCTTCAGTTACAACCATAATTGATCCTGGCATTCATGAATGTAAGTTGTGATGGTTATAAAGCAGGTCACCACATAACCAGACCCCAATTTTGTGGCATTTTTCGCAGCAGTTGTTAAGTGAATGCCGTGGTCATTAAGTAAATCCATTGTTCGCTATGGGCCAATTTTTGTCAGGGAATAAACACTGGTTTCCAGCAAAACCATCATAAATTGCTGTTGCATGACTCCAGGGCGTTGCAAAGGACCATAAATGCGCAGTGATTGCTGAGTATCCAAAATATGGACATGGGACTGCAAGGGGGAAGCTGATGTCAAAACTTTGAAACCGGGCTGTAAGTAACTTTGAAGGGTCCATCATTACTTTGAACTAAGGATTCTACAATGTACACAAATAATACACAACAATATATATAACAATATAAATATAATATAAATATATAATAATATAATAATAATATAATATAATATAATAATAATAATATAATATAATATAATATAATATAATATAATATAATTAAATATAATATAATTAAATATAATATAATATAATTAAATATAATATAATATAATTAAATATAATATAATAATAATATAATATACTAATAATATAATATAATATAATATAACATAATATAACATAATATAATATAATATAACATAATATAATATAATATAATATAACATAATATAATATAATTACATATAATATAATTAAATATAATATAATATAATTAAATATAACAATCCTGTTCCTGCAGGAAGCAAACATCCTCTGAGAACTTTATGAGGCATGTATTAAAGTAATTAATACTAAAAACATTTCACCCATGACACTGGAGGCAGTAGGGAAAAAATATTTATGAGTAATAGGTTTTAACTGTGTTATCTTCCATGAATTGATCTAAGTCCTCTTTAAAACCAACCAAGTAAATACTCATGCTGCATCTAACAAATAATAATAATAATAATAATTCCACGCCTACTCATGTAGTAAGTGAATAAGGGCTTCCTTTAACCTGTCCTACTTCATCATTCAGCTTCACTGAATGAGTCTATTCTTTTAGGGCAAGAAGAGAGCTTTTCTGAATTAAAATTGCTTAGCTCTGGGGTGGAAAAGTTGAGCATGTAGTGAATAGAGCTCACTTCTTTTGTATTCATACATCATTAATTTAGGCATATTTCCTAGCTTGGAGGTTGCCAAACTAGAACAGTTGTCTACGAAGAGATAGAAGAGATAGATAGATTCTCTTCTTTGAAATATGGATTATTCTGCTATGTTTTTGTAGCCTCTGTAGATCTCTCTTGGGGGTACAATGGCTCAGCAGTTAAAGACTTTGAGCTTGTCAGCTGACAGCCCAGGTTCAAGACCCAAGCACCACAGGATGGGGTGAGCTCCTGTTATTTGCTCCAGCTTCTGCTAAAGTAGCAGTTCAAAAGCTTGCAAATGCGAGTAGATAAATATGTATCACTTTGGTGGGAGGGTAATATTCCGTGCTACTTCAGCATATAGTCATGCTGGCTACATGACCACAGAAGCATCTCAGACAACACTGACTCCCTCAGCTAAGAAATGGAGATGAGTGTCGCCCCCTAGAGTTGGACATGACTGGATAGGAGAAATCTTTATTTTTACCTTTAGATATCTTTCAACCTGTTCACATCACACCCAGTGAAACACACACTCCCCAAGACTATTGATGGGATGGAACATGGCCAGAGCAATAACTCATGCAGAAATTTCTGGACAGCCTCCTTTTTGGTTCTGGATGGATATAATGTTTGTGTTATTTCATTTACTTCAGATGGGAACCTAAATACAAATAGGTCACTGAATAAATACAACAGGCCATTCAAATCTGAATTCCATTCCCCATTGAGAAGAAAATATGCATCTCCTATTTTGGGCCAGTTTTATTTTATTTTATTTTGCACCTATTCCTTTTCTCCAAAGTCTGGCAAAACCTTCTACTTACTTGACTCTGTTTCTTGGATTTTGTAGACAAGAGCAAAACTTTTCATATTTGTATCTGGGCCAGAAGTGAAGTTCAGCATCAGCATGGAGGTTCGTGACTTTATTGGATAATGAGGAGTTTCATTACAGAAGTTACCTTTCGGAGATACATAAAAAAGAAATTTGACTATTCTGCCTCTTTGGTTTCATTAATTTTCACTTTTTAGTTATTCCTTCTCAAAGACCGGCTTTTCATGATCTCTAGACAATCCTCTGAGAAAGCAAGGAAACCTTCAAAAGCCACAAGCAATACTTATTTATTTTTCATACTTATACATCATTACAACCAATTCAGATCTAATTTAACATTTGCAAAAACTAAAAAATATAAACATCCAATTCTCAATGAAAATTATAAAAATAGTAGAACAGTTGAACAGATTAAAATAGATTGCATAAAAAAGAAGAAAGAAAATGTTTTCAACAAAGAGCATCATTCATTAATCATTGCTATATTTGTCCGCAGGTGCCTTGTGGAAAAGAATTAGCGGTAAATTTACCAATATTGATTCAACTAGAATGGGCTTAACACATTAAACTACCAGTCCCCAGAGGTGGTATTCAGCAGGTTCTGACCAGTTCTGGAGAACCGGTAGCGGAAATTTTGAATAGTTCGGAGAACCAGCAAATACCACCTCTGACTGGAGATTTTACAGTATCCTTCCCCTGCCACGTCCACCAAGCCACGCCCACAGAACCGGTAGTAAAAAAAATTGAATTCCACCACTGAACAGAGGGTGAGTGGAACCCATCCTTACTGCAATCTGTAATGTTAAATCTCTCACCAAGCATCTCTCTTGTAGGTCCAAATCCTTCATACAGTATAAGTCCGCCATGACATTTGGGAAAGGAATTCTCAAACACAAAGTCCAGGAAATCCAGTCGAATGATGACATTTAATGGGGCAACAATCCTCCAGTGGCAACTGGAGCAATAAATCAATAATAAGAAAGTTTTAGACCTAAGCACTGGACCATTTTTTTTTCTCTTTTTCTTCTCTTTCTGTATTAAAGCTGCCATTCTCAACACTTCTTTGCATCGAGAGTTGGTTGAAGAGGGTGCTGAAAAGTGGTATCCCTTCACATCATCCTAATAAAAGAACCTCCCACTCAAAGCCCTAAAAATGGCTGGTTTCCATACCCAGAATTTCTAGCATTTGCTTTCTAACTGGATGATTCTGGAATTAAAGTACAAAATCTGGACATCCCAAATTGGAGAGGGTATAAGCCATAGCTTTTCATTATTAATTGACTGAGGAACTGTCGGTTAATCTTGACGTGTGAATTAACCATCATACCATGAAGACATATAAACCTTTCCAGGTTGCTTTACTAAACCTGACAAGGTCTAGAGAGTATAAATGATTCCAGGGATTGTGGGTGCTCCATCGCTGGAGGGTTTTAAAAAGAGATTGGACAGCCATTTGTCTGGAATAATATAGGATCTCCTGCTTGAGGAGAGGGTTGGACTAGAAGACCTCCAAGGTCCCATCCAACTCTGTTGTTCTGAATCCACCCCCAACATTGCAAGAATAAAGATTAAATTAAATAATCATGAACTGTAAAGCAGAAGGGGAAAACAGAGTTGGAAGAAAATATTTCTAAATCCATTAAAGAGCTGTACAAAATTAAGCCTAATTAGTCATAATAGTGTAATCACCACGAGTCATTTATCTGAGTGGAAAAGTGATGGTGAAAATGAGCGCAAAGTGGTCTGGATGAGGGGAACTAAAGACCAACTTATTTGGGGAGTATTGATTTGGACAATCCTGTCACATGCAAACTGGATCCCCCAACCAAAACTTTATTTCTACAGGTCAGAAAAAGAAAGACATAACCCTACCTGGTGGCATTGGGATAGTCATTAGGAAAACCCGGAGTCTGGATCATTCCTTCCCGGGTTGTAAGGACCACATCTCTGCAAGAGGATAATTGCTGGCTCAAGTCATTGGATTCTTTGAGGGTAACTCCTATCTTAGATCCTACAAGAGGAAGAAAGGAAGCAGCAAATGCTGTAGGTGGCTGTTTTGTCAAGGGCTCTTCAGCACCTAGGACAGGGGTCCCCAAACTTGGCAATTTAAAGACACAAGTCTTAAAGTTACCAAGTTTGGAGACCTCTGACCTACGATATCCCGCCCCCCCAATTTGTGTTGTAAATGACTCCAAGTGAACTGTTAAACTGAAATCATTTCATAATTTAAATGGTACCCAAAGCATATTCATAGGGTGATTATTTTAAGTACACATGCAAAAGATATGCCTAAGCAAAGATAATAGATGATTTAGGACAAGGTTTGTCATTCCTCCTGGGGAAACATGAAGCATCCACCAACACTGTACATCTTCAATGTACTCTGCAGAGCAACAAGGGGAGGGGATAAATCCCCTGGGCTTATCCAGAATGAATTCTGGTGGGCACCCTGCAAGGAATAAATTCACACAAATGGTCATAAAGCATGGAGGCCACAGGAAAAATTCTGATTGGAAAAAATAGCAACAGGAGTGATTCTGAGCCCGCTCAATAATACTCAATTTTCTGTCATGTCGTTTAAAAAATCTATGGCAGAAAAATGATGCATCTATCTTCATATTTAGGCTGCTTTTATATCAATATGGCTCTCATAGTTTCCCCTAAAGAACCTGCCCTCACTGTAGTTCAGTATCAACAATTCCCAATGAGAAATTCCTAGGACATCCGTGCTGCCCGGATTCAGTAGAATCACATTTTCTTGGATTCTATTCTACAACTAATGTAGCTGTCACAAACAACTCTGGGTGATGTCAAGCCCAAAATATACAAAGAGAACAAACTGAAAAAGATGATCAATAGTAACAGCTTATCTGTCCCATGTAGAGCACCAGAACATTAATCAATTAAATCAATTAAACCAAGAAATTCCACGATCGGATTCACATCCTTCTGGTCACAAGTCCCTTCCCAGATTTTGAAGGACTTCCTAAACCCTGATGGAGTCAGAGCCATCTGGGTATAGAAGGAGTATCTTCCATGGTTCCTATAGGTGACATTTCCAGGGCAAAGGAATGGAATCCACTCTAGCAGATATTATCAGGTAGAGAGGCATTGTTGTGAGTCTTGAGCCATGAAGGAATTTAAAAGTTGACAAACTGTCAACTCATAAAACTATTCCTGTGCCTGTTTTCAAATTGCCATAAACAAGGGTGGGGGGGAATCTGAAGGAGCAGTACAGCAGTAAAACCAGAAGTACATTCCACCATTATCTTAAAAAAGATTATAGTTAGGCTACCGGATCTTCTGGCCTCGAAAATCTTTCATTGGAGAATATGATTGATGACATCTAGCCCGTGAATGTGCTTCATTGAGAATCTGATTTATGATACACCCAGGGGGGAGGGGGAAACATGGTCACAAGTGACTGTGAATTACATATGCCAAAGTTGGCTTCATTTAGGTTAATGCCAGCATGTTGCTCCTAATAAATATTTTAAGTTTTTTTTTAAGCCTGGCTTGAGGCTCATGATTTAATTAGGGCTATCGCCAGAACCCTGATACAAACATCATTCTGAATTTCATCCAGAAAACAATTGTCCATCAAAGCAGCTCTCCAAGTAGTGATGTTATATGTGGCAATCAGGAAATATCTATAACTACTTAGCCTTTGCCTTTGTGTCACTTTCCAAACACATTAATTTGGTAATTAACAGAATAGTTAACATAGCTTTCTAAGGTATTAGAATAGCAACACTATTAAAATGCACTACAAAAGGGCAAAGTATGGTATCAGGCGTGTTGATGTTATATACCTTGTCCATCAACAGCTTGTAGAAGGTTCATAGGTGACTCCAATGACCGTACTAAGGTTTCAAGACCAGTGTTACTGATTGGCATCTCTGCTGGTCCCTTCTCTATTGTGAGGAGGGAGGAGGGAGGGAGAGGGAGAGGGAGAGAGAGAGAGAGCAATAAGAGCTGTTAAAAAAATTGAAATCATAGATCTGGAATGGAGCTTAGGGGGTCTTCTAGTCCAACCCCCAGCCCAAGGAAGGAGACTTTATTGCATCCTGTACAAGTGGCTGCACAATCTTTTCTTGGAGCTCCCACAACTTCTATAAAATAAAATTAGCTGTGCTAATCCCAATGAGATGTAAGCATACTGAACAAAGTTAAATAATGTTTTAAAAGGGGGGGGTCTGACTTGGCTTGTTTTCCTGACTATCTCCTTTTTGATTACATATCTTTTATAATAATACAACTTTCAGGAGTGCTTGTATTGATTACTGATCTACACCAATTGTTCTACTGGGCCTTAGCTGAAAGGGGTAAAAGATGCCTAAATAGGGAAATCAAACAATCAAAGCTCCTTTCCTCAGATTATACCGAAGCCTACATCTTTCACATGTTTGTGCTAATCTTACAAGTACAGTAAACTTGTGCTAACTTGAGTGCTAGCAAAAAACAAATCTGACATTCTAAGGAATTGGAAAAATACATTCAAATGTTGCTTGCTTTGCTCAAATCTAGAAGTTCCCAAACTTTTTGTCATCAGACCTTCCTTTGGTTTAATCTATATGTGCCCACCTCCCCTAATAATCCAAAGACCAAAATGAAGATAAAGGAACAATGAAAACAATATAATGAAACTTTATTTTTAATAAAGAGATAAAAAATAAAAATCTTCAAACCTCTTCTGGAGCCTGCCTGCACCTCTCCAAGGAGAGTACCCCTCACACTTTGGGAAACCTGCTCTAATCCAAGCAGATGATGCCACTCAAAGACAGTGATGGGATTCAAAAAAAAAATTACTACTGGTTCTGTGGGCGTGGCTTGGTGGGTGTGGCAGAGGAAGGTTACTGCAAAATCCCATTTCCTCCCCACCCCACTAACCTGCTTTTCAGCTCCGTTCTCCTGTGCAGGGCAACCAAAGAAGACCCAGCTGATCAGCTGGGACTCGGGAGGCAGAGAATAGATGGGGGCGGGGCCAGTCAGAGGTGGTATTTGCTGGTTCTCTGAACTACTCAAAATTTCCACTACCGGTTGTCCAGAACCAGTCAGAACCTGCTGAATACCACCTCTGCTCAAAGATCAGAAGGCATTATTGCTTAGCATTTAGAACCAAACAGAGACCATGGGCACCTTTAATTACATATACAATTATGCTTACCTTTAATTATGGATACAATCCAGTCAAAAAAAGCACTCACTCTTGAATAAACACCAGGTCTCTTAGGTTGAGCACAGCCCACACCCCAGCTAGCAATTCCATGGAGTATAAATGGCTTGTTTTCATTTTGGCAAAGCAGCAGACCTGAATCCCCCTGAAAAACATGCACACAAACACACACAGTTTGCTAAACGTAAAGAAAGAACACATTGATGCTGCTTTATATTTATATTTTTAATGCACATGTCTAAACCTATAATATTTCCATGGCATTTCATAAGCCGAGCTGCAGCAAGGGCAGTCAAGAGAATGGCTGTGAGATCTGTGTAACAGAGTTATGGCTTTCAACAGCAGAAGAGTCCTTGATGGTCTTTGAGCTTGGTGGTTTTCTTGCAGAAGTTTCATTACCAAACTGGATAACATCATCAGTGCTAGAACAGAGTGGGATTTGCTCTTATTTTTATACACTAGTGGCTTGCCCTGTCAGTGTTGTACTTGGTTGTTCCTTGATCTACATACCACTCAAAAGAGACAATCAAAAAGCCCAAAGGAAACAAAAAACCCTCTCAAAAATCCTTCTCACAAACTATCAACATCCATATAAGCAAAGATTAATATCAAGATTAACAACAGAACAAGTGAAAAATACCCCAATCAAGGATCTACCAACACAAATAAACCAGCTAATAGTAAACAACAGCCTAACAGTCAAGAGACCACCAAGAACAATCCCATCAACACTGATAGGATAAGCCACTAGTATATAAAAACAAGAGCAAACCCCAGTCCCCACCAAGTTCAGAGACCCCACAGTTCAACCCTGGGCTACAAGTATCCTCTTATGTTGGTACCAGTAAAGTAGCTGCCCAAAAGGAATCATGCTATATCCCACGAACAATACTGATGGCCCAATCCCCAATCTATTATTCTTCCCTTCCTGAAAAAGTGTGAAAGAGTTCCAAATTCAGCCTATAAGCTACAGATCCTCTTTGGTCTATAACCAGTGGTGGGAGTCAAATAATTTAACAACCGGTTCACCCAGGGCCAGGTTGGCCGTTGGGGGAGGCATGGCCCATCTCCATCCTCCATGCGGGACAAGCCTCCCGTGACAGCCAACCTGACCGTGAACCGGTTGTTAAATTACCACCACCCCACTATCAAAGTGGATCTTTGGTGCTGCGCTACAACGGAGAAACAGAAAACGGAGCAGCTGACATGAGAGAAGGAGGAGGCACAGGGAGAAGAAGGAGGGAAAGAAGGCTTCCCTCACACCAGCTGCTCCGTTGCCCATTTCTCCATTGCAACACAACACTTTGATGAGGGGGGTAACAACCTGTTCACCTGAACTGGTGTGAACCTGATGAATCCCACCCCTGTCTATAACTGTAACTTATTTAATAAAATAAGATGCAAATGATCCACTTTTGGTAGGTTGAGCATACTTTTCTTATTCTAGTTTACCCTTCTGTGGTTCAGTCTATGTTTTTCTTGTCTGCTCTCTTGATACCTGGCAGGAATCGTGGCTTTCCAAAGATGCAAAACCAGCACAGAGCATCTGAGGAGTGATCCCTCCAGGATGATTAAAGTAGTACTTTTGCTCACAGAGATCATTGGCCACCAGTGGGACATGCATTTGCTGTAGACGGGTAGCAAGGCCTCCAACTATAAAACAGTAGAAGAATATTTCAGAATAATGCATTTTTCCCCTTTGATGGACTAGGCACTAGGGGGAAAATCTTGTTCAGAATGTATTACTAAGGTATGGACCACATCAGGGTTAGGCCTAAAAGCATATAAATAGGTCAGAAAAAGAGGCTGCAATAAAAGAGATAAGGTCTATTGATGGTTTGGTCCAAATAATGAATATTCAACCTGATAGCATCCAGATGTTTTGAACAAAATGGCCTGCTATCTCTTCCTACTAGTTATACCAGTTGGAGTTGAAAGAATTTGAATTCCAAAACATTGCCTACCCAAATTTAGATGGGCCCCTATTACCTCCTTAAGTCATGTAATCCTTGTATTAGAATATTTTTTCCCTCAACACTAGCAGTTTAAGAC